GGAACTACACTGACTTTCACACCGTAAAAAGCACCCTGATGGGCTGACGTGCAGCCTTTGAAGGGCTTGGGAGTGGAAAAAAAGGAAAACAAACCTACACAAAAAATAACCTAAATGACAAACAGCAAACAAACGATCTGGGGGCAACAAAGCTGGAGGTGCCTGTTGCCCCTGCCCTAGGGTCCACCACCGAGGTTGTGGTTGAGTATATATACATATATCTGTATATACACACATATATATATATATACACACTATATATATATACACACTATATATATACACTATATATATACACATGTATAAATGCGTATACATGAGTTTATGTGTCTATGTATATGTGTATATACACATATAACATACATTATATACACATAAATTATACATACCTATATGTATAGATACACAATATATAATGTACATATATTATACATACCTATACATGCAGACATTTATACACATATATGACTGTGTGTATACATATATATGTATATATAATAAAAAATTTTCCTTTCTAAAAAATTGTATTTAAAATGACTTGATAGCTGAAGTAACGGTGGCTGCAGGAGCATCCCCCGGGCCCGCAGTGCCCCCGCCGGCCGCCCAGCGCCGGGACACCCACGCAGGCTGCCGGGCGCCGCCATCCGCCCGCTCGGGCGCCGCTCCCCGCCCCTCGTCCGCCTCCCGCCGCGTCCCGGCAGCCCCCGGCTCCCTGCGGCCGCGCTTCTACCGGCACACCGCGCCCTGCCCCGCCTCGGGACGGGGCTCCCGATAAAAAAACGTCAGTTACCAGGAGTGGGGTTCGAACCCACGCGGACATGCGTCCATTGGATCTTAAGTCCAACGCCTTAACCACTCGGCCATCCTGGTGCAGATACTGGGACGGCTCGCAGCCGTTCCTACATCCACGGCCGCGCTCCCTCCCGCCCCCCGGGCCGTCCGCGACCCTCGGGGGTGCCCCCTCACCCCGCCGCCGCCGCCGCCGCCGCCGCGCCCTCCCGCCTTTATTCCCAGCGCGGCGGTCGCGGAGCGCACGGGGCGGTGCGCGCGGGCGGCCTCTCCTGGCGGCGGGAAGCGGGCGGGCAGGCCCGGCGGGGAGCGCTGCCGCGGACCGGCACCGACACCGACACCGAGACGGTCCGAGCCTGGCCAGGCGGCGCCGCCTTCCCGCCGCCGGGCCCGTAGCGGAAGGGGGAGGCGGGGGAGGTGCGCGGCGGCGGCACGGGCCCGCCCCTAGGGGAAAGCGGGGCGGGCGGCGCCGGGCCGGGGGCGGCGGGGTGCGAGGGCTGCGGGCAGTGCGGGCTCATCCCCCTCAGAGCGGGCAGGGCCGCGGTGCCGGCGGGCTCGTCGGGCGTGGGGGGCAGCGGAGAGGTTGTGCCGATAGGGCACCGACACTTTATTATTTCCGCCAAGTGTTTCCTGGAATGTATCTTCTCTCGCTCGTAGAAGGAGAACCAAAACCAACAAAGTCCAAAGCTATCGATTATGCTTAATTAGGAGGAAAAATATCGAAGGGGAAAGGTTTTTTCTGCTGGTCGCCACTAAGTGCCGTGTCTACGGAAGCACCTATCGCAATATTCCCGATTACTGCCTGCCTTGGGACCTCCCCCTTCTTCCCTGCGCCTGAGGAGAAATGGGAAGTGTCACTTCTCTGGCTTTACCCCGGCACAGGCTCCCACCCTCGCTGCTGTTTTCCAGCGGAGAAAATGGACGTCCTGCATGGCACCGAACTTCGGCGCTTTTGAGGTGTGAGAAACATATTCCACACAGCACAGGCTGAGGACACGGGCCTGTGCCAGCCTCCTGCGCACGAGGAGGCAGGCGGAGGCCGTCTGCTTCGCCACAAGCATGTTATAAATGCACATCATATTATTGGCTTTTCGCAAATATTATCATGAATGTTATATGTATAAGATTAGAAAATGTTGTATTAATATAGTTTCCTTTATTTCTGTTATTGATGAAACTTAGAAATAGTGGTATAATACATATGTATATATAGTATATATATAATATAGTATAGTATATGTTATATATATAACACAGTATTGTATAATACATATACTAGTGTAGTATAGTATAATACATATACTATGGCATAGTATTAAAACAAAAACTACTTTTGTTTGTATAACCCAAAGACTGAAAAAGATAGCTAAAGACCCCCCTGCATTCTTAAACTATCTTATCCAGATGAAGACAGCAGTGACCATAACTCCGGGGGAGGAATTTATTGCATTTTTGGTATCAGAGAATGTAAATCTCAGTGGCGCCAAGAAGATTGATCTATTGAAAAGGGGGCAAGAGAAAACTAAACAGAAAAACACCAAAAATCCTAAGAAGAATGTCTGAATATGTATGAGAATTTATGGATATGTAGTAAGGTTCTGTTTTTAAGGGACAATCCGTTGTTAGTAAGGTGTGCTCTCTTGGCTGAATGCAGAGACACCCAGCCGTATCTGTATACTTTACTGTATTTTTATCTCCTGATTGTCTTTTTATTAAACTTTTAAAGTCTATTAAAAAAATATGTGAACCTCGTTTTTCACGAGCAGAACCAGGAGCACGCTCCTTGCTCGGGTCGGGCACCCTGGCCAGCCCTGCCCCTCTGCAAGGAGTCTGGTGCTCGAATTTGCAGGTGCAGCCGGTGTCTGATCTCCTCAGCTCTTAGTGCTCAGAGACCCCTGGGACACTGGGCATGCTAGTGAGGGAAAATACTGCTCTCATACCATACAAGTGAATTGTTAATGTTTTACATCCATGTTATACACACGCAGGAGCTCATTAATAAAAGAACAACTCTTCCAATGGAACTTGCCATGCTGTATTGTTGCCTTGAAATGAGTGGCATGCCGTGGTTCTCTATGCACTAGGGTTATACCTTTCAGCAAAATATTGAGTAGAGAATCACTGTCAGTTAGGTTTTTTCCTTTTCTGTTCACATCTAACACTATTTCTAAGGAACACAGTAAAATGTTACTTATTCTTGTTCGGACTTGGTGCCCTAACAATGTATGCACAGTAAGGCATGATGGTGAAGCTGTCTTCTTCTGGCTCTTACTTGCTTTGGCTCAACCATTATGAAGAGACTACATAATATCCTAAAAATGTGGAAGCAGATAGATCTACTGTTGCCCTCTTAGTTATTAGAGAAACAGAATGGCTCCATGTGAAAATCGCATTGCATTGGAAATTTATTAACCAGAATCACCACCTACAGTATCTATTAAATTACACTGTTTCCTGCCTTCATTATATCTGTGATACTTTCCTACAGATAGAAGCACAATCCCATGTAGCTCTTTCATTTTTCAAATAGATTTCAAATAGCTACCATGGTTCAAAAATCTAGAGAACATGTTTTGTTTTCAAGAAGTAATAAAAATACAACTTGGGCTGTGCATTCAAAACATCCTTAATGCAGGTTAGATTAGAAAAGCAACAGTTTAGCAAAGCTACTCAGCTCAGCCTCTAGGAAAAAAAAAAAAAAAAAAAAAGCTATATGAATCTTAAGAGCTTCACTTCCCTTTACTTCAAGAAGTTTCTCCCAAGACACGTGCCAGAGATACCTGCTCATGTGTGCAAGTCTGTCCACAGTCTGGTCCTTCATTTTGAGGAAGCAATTGTCCCACTGCCATTTCTCTAAAATGAAACCCATGATTCCAAAAAAAACAAGAAAAAAGTTCCTCAAGATGAAATGGAGACCCATTTGCATATCCATTACATATTAAACTTTATATTTTGTAATAGGGGATTTTTTTTACTCTCTTTTATATGTATGCTGTCTTACATTTTTTAGAAGGAGCAAAGTGCCCCTGGATGCCAGTTCTTCTTTGTCCTTCTCAGAAAGGACTGGCTGGTGGCTGATTGGTGATGTGGGTTGTGAAGTTTCAGCATCAGTAGGAAGCAAAACCAAAGTAACAGCAATCCTAAAAGCTAAGACATCCCCTGTCAGCTTTTAACTTCTTCACCCCTCAAACCCAGTTTAACTGTTTGCCATATGAGGAAGAGGGGGAAAAAAAACCCTACCAAGCCATGGAACATGCTACACACATCTGTATAGGAGTTGCGCTGACTTTCAGAAGGAAAAGGCAACTTTCCTCAGAAGATGTCCATTCTGCAGCTTCTGTTATTAGTATGCTAGCATATTATCAAGCAACTTTTATCATCTTCTGCCACTCATCCTGTGTGGCATAAGTCCTTGCAGCTATAGAGTGATCAGCTTTTTTTAAAAAGTCTGTTTAACTGTGATTAGGCAAGTTCATGGGCTGGCTAAATTTGAGTTCTTAAACAACTAAGGGGTAGAAAAAACCCCAAAATATTAAGCAATGGACATGTTTGCAAGAAAGAGAATGATAGAAGGATCGCTGCAATTACTGAAGTAATTTTTAAGCGTTTCTTAACTCACAGTGCATCTTAAAAATAGTTTTAAAAGGTCTCAGGTTGGTTTTTGACTAATTCTCATGTTTTTCCTTGCAGCAATAGCACTAAGTCAGGAGAGAAGGTCGACAACTACCTTTTCTTTCTGCTCTCTTTCTCCATGCCTCAAATCAAACTAAAGATTTGAATACTAGTTTTGTATATCTCCTAGTGAAATCATCAAGGTCTCTCAAAACTGCCAGAATAAGTTTGATATTTTTTTAACTAGAGAATCACCTTAGAATGCATGAATCTCATTTTTCATGTTTTTTTTAGGGAAAAAACAACAGTAAGTCTATCTCAATATGCAACACATTTCATTTACCATGGCAACAAATATTAAGAGGACTTTTTTTTCTAGGCCTTATTTAATCTTCTTTTACCAACTCATAATTTAGCTTAGCAACTTTTAAACTAAACTTTGACAATGCAAATAACTATTCAGAGCTACGGATTCAATGTATGACACTCTGCACTTTCAGTTTTTCTTATTAAATCTTTTATTCCATTTGTAGATGCAAAAAAGGAACCAGCACAAAAAAAAAAGTACATATTTTTTATCAAAAACATTGGCAAGTGCTAGGAGTATGCATGTGAAAGGAAATACATTATTTCATTCTTCATTGATTTATCCCCACATGCTGACTCTCGGAGGTTTAGGGTATTTCTCTACAAATGCACAGTTCCACTGACTTAATGGCAGTACCTACACAATAAAAACTTTTGTCTTCCTGAGTAGCACCAAAGCCACTGGCTGTGGTCCGAGCTCATCACTGTTTTTTCTCCCACTTGAACACCTCGCTGAAGAGGTCCTCAGACAAGCATAACACTGATATCGCCAGTACACCACTGAATATCAAAGTATCTTACAGTTTAGGAGACCGGTGTTTCTCACTCTTCCATGTTATCAGAGACAGGTGCTACAGCAAAAGGGACACTCAGTTTCTGAGAAGAGTTATCCCTTTAGTTTCTCTTTGTGTAAAAAAGCCTGTCTGGCTAAAGTTGTTTCCCAGTAAGATTTGAAAGCTTGGAAGTTGGATTTATATTGCTGTTTTGTTATATTAATACAAATAGTAAGAAATGTTTTGAGTTTTTGTTCACACATAAAATAAGGGTGCAAAAGGTAAGAAGGGAGAAGTTTCACTGCAACTGGTGCAGGAAGATGTACATCTATGCACATCTGAGGAAAACTCCCAAATAGAAAATATTTGAAATGTTGAAATATATTTATTAAAATTGGTACCAGCAGTTAAAAAAAATTATTTTCTGAAAAAATGTCCTGCATTATTTCAAAGGATAACAATAGATCACAGTGCATCAGGAAGCCACCTAGAAATATAGTTGGAAAACCTGCAGAAGCAGGAGCTGTGATCAGTCATCAGACTTTGTGAGTATGTTTCACTGACAATGCTCAGTGCTAACCAAGGCTGCACATTTTTTATTTCTTTGCAATACTCCAAACCTACTGGTTTACCCTTGTGTAAGGGCAGACTCCTATTACATAAAATGAGAGTTTCCTTTTAAGCTTGGAAAGAGCACTGAAATGACATTAAACTGTTTTCGTTCTTCTTCAGGTGCACTGAAGAAATAGTTCTATTTGCTTTCCCAGGTGGAGATTTCCAATCAGTTGGAGAAAAGTCAAAATTTTTGTACACCAGTAAAATTGCATATTAAAAAAAATTAATCCTTCATCTTATTTAAAATAGATACTAAAAAACTTATATTTGGTTAATACTTATAAAAAATGAAAGTGTACTGACAGGCCAGTCATTCTACTAAAACTGCTTCTATGTATGTGCCAGTACAGGAGACCCTAAAATGCTTTCTCAACCCCACAGGTGTTGTCTTCATATGGGTGTTTCTGCAGAAGGCCACTCCGTGTTTCTCCTCTGGCTGAAGTGTTAATTGGCAGAAAAATGCATCAGAACATGAAAGCATGGCAGGTTTGAAACCAAGAGTCCAAAGAGTGGCTCAAGTTAAAAGTGAGATGCCTCAGTGTTGCAGTGCTTTTTGCCACCTTGAGAGAGTTGGGTACTCAAAATGGGAAGAAACAGTCACTTGCACACAAATAGAGCAAAATGTGCATATTATCATTTAAGGTGCAGCCACTTCTGTTAAGATTCCAGACATCTGGAAATCAAGTTGAAAGAGAAATTAGTTCTGTGTCCTGCTCCTGCTCCAGGCTCAGTATTTTGTCAAATTTGCATCAAGCAAGCTCCAAACTAGTTAAAACTGATACCTCCTGATTCTGTGGTGTGCTGTGTCACCCCAGGCAATAAGGCTTCACTGCCTTCAGCCTCATTTTGACAAATAAGAATAAAGTTACTTTTTAAAGTATCCATCTTCCCTAGGATAAATGATTCATTCTTCTTTCTTGCACTATAGAGATATTGCACCTCTAGTTAAAGTAACAGGATCTTTAAAAAAATTAGATTAAAAATAGTTTTATCAACATTTCTAGGAGTTCATAAATATAAACAGCCTTCAGCACATTTAGTAAAAAGGCAATGAACAAAACCAACTGCAAAATATCCCCCATATTTCTAGGGTTTGTCATTACAGAAAAGTCTCTGCAAAGAACACCTGATTTTGGAGACATTTAAATCAGTCTGTGATAGCTCCAGTGGGACCATCACCTTCTGCAACATGATAAGCAGCAGCAGAGGATTGTTCTGAGGGGATGTTTTCTCCTGTATTCCAAAGCTTTTTTCACTTGGTCTTTAGCATCTCCTACATAGTCCTCAACATTTTGCATATTTATCTCAATAACATCAAAGGTGTCTGCCTGTTCCTCCACCAGCAGGGCCACCTGCAGAAAGAGCTCGTGAACTTCCTTAATGCGACCTTCTAACTTCACCAGCTCCTTGTGTCGCGTCTCTATCTCATTCAAGGCTGCACGAGCTCCCTTAACATCTGACAAGAGATTCTCAGAGAAGACATCCCATTTGCCCTGCTCAATCATCTCCTCAATCTGGTGGCCAGGAACATCTTTGCCCATGATCTCCAGCTGCCGCTGAATTCGAATCTTGCAGTTCTCCCGCTGGTTCATCTCTGTTGCATTGTAATCAAACATAGCGTCCTGAAATGTGTGCATGAGGTCAACGTAGTGGTTCTTTGCCACCCTGGCAATGACAGACATAGCTCCATATTTCGTTACTGCATCTTCACAGAAATCTCTCATCACCTGCAGTTTCCTGTGGATGCTTTCTCCACGGCTCTTAATGTCTCTGGCAATACCATTAGTATCTCGTTTGATGCTACTAAGACGGCGCATGGAAGTAAGGAAGCGGGTGTTTTGCTTTCTCAGACGGTTGACGTCCGCTTTTAGGTGGTCATTTTCTGTCCGGATATTCTGTATGTCCTTATGAAGAATTTCCAAGGCATAATCCGTCTCATAAAGGAGAATATCCTCAGGTGAATTTTCATCATCGTCACTATCTGAAAACTGTTGGTTGTGTAATCTGGCAAATTCACGCAGCTCACTTAAACGGTCTTTCATCCTGCCTGTAAAACAGGAATAGGAAGAATGAGTTTAAAGTAACTAAAATATTGGTTAAAAGAGTTCAAAATTTGTAACTAATAGCTACATCATGGTGATAACTAAATCATATATAACAAACATAACTACAGCAAAGATAACCCAAAATATCAGATTTTCAATCTGTTCACACTATTTCATACAGTTATGGATATCACATCCAAAACGCTGCTAGAACACTGTTCTAGAAAATAAAAAGATTAGGAACGAAAACTGCAGGAAAGAAGTCAACGAATCTTGAAGACAAGTCGAAAAGAATAGTAGGACAGTCCCAAACTCCCCAGAAATTGCCAGTCTTTTACTTGGAGGGGAAAACCAGACTCCTGATAGAAAACCTTCAGCCATCAGCATCTGTAGATGTGTTAATAACCGAAGACTTCCCACTGCTGTTCACTAGAGAAATCTCCTCTAGCTCCTGATCCCTCATTACATCCACTGCCCAAAATGTCACAGGGCTTCCCTCATTCTAAGTTTGCTAAATGAGAATACTAAGAAGCCTCTCAGAAACAGAAATGGCATTTACCAATAAATTTGGGAAAGAGAAGTTTCAAGAAATCATGTGAAAAGTATCAAGATAAGGGGAAAAAAAAAGAAAAAAAAAGGAAGGATTAAAAAGAAGAGAGCAACTTTAGTGTCTCCAGATTGACCATGAAGTATCAGGCATCAACAATTAGGGATATGGAGAATGGGTGTGGAGAATCTCTTGTGAGGAGAGACTATGGGAGCTGGGCCTGTTTAGTCCAGAGAAGACTGAGAGGGATCTCATCAGCACATATAAATATGTCAAAGGCGAGTGCCAAGAGGATGGTGCCAGACTCTTTTCAGTGGTACCCAGCAACAGGACAAAGAAAAATGTCCATAAACTAAAACACAAGACATTTCACTTCAACCTGAGGAAGACCTTCACTACATTTTGGGTGGAAGAGGCTGCCCAGGGAGGTTGTGGAGTCTCCCTCTCTGGAGGCATTCAAAACCCACTGGACATGTGTCCTGTGTCACCTGATTTAGGTGAACCTGCTTGGGCAGGGGATTTGGACTAAATGATTTCCAAGATCCCTTCCAACCCTAACAATTTTGTAATTCTGTGAACTTTGTGCTTACCATTCCTTAAACTTCAGAAAAATTAAATTTCATCGGCCTTCTACAGAGAGCATAGTAACAACTTGCTCAACAAGGATTTAACTTTCTGTTTGTGTTTTCTTCGTCAAGCAAACCCTGAGTAAAGCTCCTGTGTAATAAACTCATAATTATGTAAGAGCAGAAGGAAGAAATGGAGAAGCAAATACATAGCATTCACAATATAAAAATATTAATGCTGTAGTAAATTCATGTGTATACTAATTCTGCAGCATCTCTAAAAGTACTGTTTTTCTTTTAATACAACAGGAAAATTTAAAAAGTCAAACATTAAACGAAGAGTAAGAAGCTGTCAAGTGTGGCCTTGGATTGCACAATGCTGCCTGCACACAGGAAGATCACGCAATTAAACACTGGCCTATGCACTATCACTTCCACCAAGTCTCTGCCTACAGTCTGTATGTGCTGAATGAAAGTTGTACAACATAAAATTTAATATTCATCAATCAGCTCATGTTGTCTCATTGACCATGTTGCTACTGTTCATTTCGTCAGGGATTTCCCCTGCAAAATCTTTGGAAAGTTCCATAAATTCCTACCAGTCTTTTGGGGAGAGGCAGCTCTAACAGCCCCACAGTCAGGTTTCAGCCCGGAGTCATTAAGGACACCACTACCACTCTTGATGAGTTAAGACACCCACTTGAGACACTTCAAGCACAATTCTTTGTACCTGGAATCTTCAGAAGTCAGCTCCTTCTGACTTCTGTCACTGCCGCAAGCCTTGAGTGCTTTGCTGAGTAAGATTGCGAAGGAACAAGCTGGACATCAGTGAATGAACACATGGATCAAGGCCACTTGTGAACAGCTCCTCTCCAGTGACAGCATCACACACGATCTCTGTGATCCAGCAGATCCAGCAGAGTCTAGCTGTAAGCGGAACAGAGGGATCAAGTTGTAGTCACACTTACAATCTTCATCCTGGGTTTTCCCACTTCCCCAGTACTTAGTTCTAAAAGCCTACATTATTTGTATCTATGTACCAAAACTTACATTTAGATGGTCAACATTAGTATCTTTTAACTCTGCATTGAGGACAGGTCCCTGGGATATGTCTCCACAGGTCAGGTGTTCACACTTTTGTCTTAACAAATGGACACCATCTATTTAAGCCTGACTTTGGAGTCTTGCAAAATCAGGGACTTTTTGGCACTTCCTTTCATTCTCCCCAAGTCCTGTCTTCCACATAATGTTTCTAAATTGCATCATCTAGCCTTCTTCCCACTTCATCTTCACATTTTCAAGATGTTCATCCTTATCTACACACAGTACCTGGACAGGATGGAAGGGCAGGAATTGAGTAACTTTCTGTCTGTATTTCAGCATCATATGAGGCCACAGACACCACAAGTTACAGAGGACACTTGTTCAGCTTTATGCTGAACATGCTCAAGTACTCCATAGGTCAGCACTTGCAATATTTGGTCAAAGAGATTTGTGAGGTTCAAGAAAAGGTTTAGATTTCATCTTTCTTGAGCACCTTTTGCTCAAGGAACACAGTAAATTTATTTGGGGTATTTGGAAACCGTTGCTTTGAGAAACTCACAATTTGGCAGAATTTCAGGTTTTTTTACATAAAGAAAAACAGTAGGCTGGAATGTAACATCACCTCAGAGGTCTTTTCCTATTTCAAATTCTCATTTCAAACAAGGGGGAACCAGATCTTCTCAAGAGAGGGCAATAACTTACAAGCATACCTTGGATGATGTCAGGGACAGAACTGACACAAAGAGCTGAAATAAATAAGCAGGGAGAGCAAGGGGGAAGAGCAATTTGAAACATTTCAACATAACAAGCTGTGGTTTAGAAAAGTTGGCCTCCTTTATCAGATACTGTTGTTACTCAGCAAAGTTTGCGTCTATGCGTAAGTTGACTGCATTGCCTGTAATTAGAACAGCAATATATTAATACATGGTACATTATGGGTTGTTAGGGATAGCCGCAAACCTCAGTCTGTAAAATGAGCATCAGTCTCTCCCTTCATACAGTGCCCAGTGCAGCAGTAGAACTTGCGCTCTCTGACAGGGAAACAGCCCTGCAAGACCTTGGTGTGCTGGTAGGCATGAACAGGAACGTGAGCCATGCATTCAGGCTAGTGCAGCAAAAGTGAGGAAGGAAAGGGACCCCCTGTCTGACACTTGAGAGACCACATCTGGAGTGTTACTCACCAGACACATTGGAATGAGCTCAGGGGAGGCCACAGAGGTGGTCAGAGGTGCTGGAGCACCTGATAAAGGAAGAGAGGCTGGGAGAGTTGGGAATGTTCAGCCTGAGAAACAGGAAGCTCAAGGGAGATCTTGTTGCCATCACTAACTGCTTAATGCAAGGCTAGACCTTTCTTGGAAATGTACAGCAATAACACAAGATGCAACAGACCTAAGCAGAAACAAGAGAAGAGCCAGCCAGATACGAGATGGGGAGAAAGGAAAAAAGAAGAAAACCCTGAACATTTAGAAACAATGGAAAAGGTGCTCAGAAAAGTTTTGGAATCAGCATCCTTGAAGATATTTAAAACTCTACTTGGCATGGTCTTCAGCAACCTAAACTGCCTGTGTGGGTTTTGAGCAGGCCTGGATTAGACAATGTCCAAACATCTACAGACAATTTAGACAGTCTAAATAGTTCTGGTAATCATCCTTAGATAAAAAGTTTACTATTTGACCATGAACATTAAATACATTTAACTACTTGTACAAATCTATATAAAAGACAGAAAAGTATGAGGTTTAATAGATTAGCTGATAGTTTTATTTCATTTTAAAATGCTACGTATATTCAAACTGGAAAATGTGCTTCCACGTTTGTATTTTTGGACTAGGTAAATCTGTCCCTGTAAATATGAAGTTCTTTCTGCAACCCGTAATGACATGTACACCCAAACACACACACAGGAAATACAGGCCAGGTGATGACTGCAGAGGTTACAAGTTTGAAGGCAGATATCCAGCAAGTACAGTCAGCTGAGGGCATGTTCAGTGCTCATCTTTTCATGTTACTCTGCAACTTACTGGTATTAATCACCACAGTGACAAGCTTTCCCATGATGCATGAGAAACATACAAATTGTCCTGTTGCAATAAGACTGGAGCCCCAGACAACTGTGTATGACATGGGATTTCAGACAAGAAAGAAAATCCACTCTGAAAATCAAAAACTATGCTTATGCATACACCCCCTGTCTGTTAGCCCCATATACATACAAAAGGGAGTCCTACAAACATTGCCTAACATTGCCATGCTAATGTTCTGAAGCCTGTCAACTATGTGAAATAATCTAAGGGTGAAAAGTTATTTCTATAGAAACAAGTGAGTTACACACTTATGTTTATTTTAGCTTTAACATCTGTATATCCACACTCTATCCCCTTATGGACCATTCACTTAAGAGCTGGGCTCAACGATCCTTGTGTGGTCCTTCCAGCTCAGAATATTCTGTGATTCTGTGATCAGAGTCTGGGGACAAGTGGTGAAATGATGAAACAGTTTCAGCAGAGCATCTATATTTCATGGCCAGCTGCTGGGAAGGAAGGCAGTGTACATTTTTTCTTCTTGCAGCATTCAGAAATGGCAGCTGCTATTTAATACCATCTTGTGGCTTACCAAAAGTATAGTCAGTAATCTTTTCAGCCTTGAGTAGGGCTTTACAAGATGAAGTTTTTACTTCAGTTTTTTGAGGAACAAGAGATATTTCAAAACAAGTCAGTTAAAAATAATTTCTGTCAGTAGCTCTTCTTGCCCTTGGAAGGTAAAAGGAACCCACGTGGCTCATCCTGGCTCTGAATGGCATGTGATTTTGATTGCATGACACACAATAGATGTGACCCAAAAAACAAGTGGTGCACAATTAGGAAATAACCTGCTCTTAGGCAAAATTACTTCATAGCTAAGTGTGTCAGCATATTTCAGTGACTTCCCATATTAGTTGTAGAGAATGTAGTGTTGATGGAAATCTGCTCAGATGGACATACTGAACTGAACACACTACATTCCAAGGAAAATAGAGTGCTGCTGTTGCACTAAAATACAAGTCATGCATAGGTAAAAAAAGTGTTAAATTCAGCTGAAGCATTTAGTTTAAGAGTTGGAGTCTCAGATTTAATAATTTTCTAGTAACTATCTGTTTTGTGAACAATTGTCTTAGACCAGATTTAACATTTTTGCTTGGTATCTGTTGTCTAATAATAGATTTCACAATATTAATTAACTTGGGAAAAAGACTTTTTTTTTCTAAACAGTAAGTTTTCCTCTTTCCAGAAGAGTAGTTGGCTTATAGCAGAGTACTAGTCATCTTTTCAGTCCAAATTCCCTGTCTTCCCAACCATGCCCATCACAGGGGGCACAGCAAGCTTGAATTTTTCAAATTACTCATCTTTTTTTCTCTCTTCTCCTCTGTAAGAGCCTGAAACAAAAAAAATTATCTAATGATTAGGACAGTTTGGCTTCTCAAGGCATTGATTCTGATTCTAAGATCACATATGTGAACTAACTCCAATATTAACAACTATGACAGAGATCATCAGTTCAAAATCTTTTTATGGCCTCACTGAAAGGAAGTGATCCTCTCTGGTTTCTTGGATTTCACAATGTTTAAAAATAGACAAAATGTATTCAGGAATTAAAGTCCATCAGTTAACATTGAATGCCAGTTATAAAGCTACAGATATCCATCAAGAAGTTGCAAGTGTATCTGAAGACTACACTACCCAGCTCATATGCTCATCAAAGCCTGTGTACAACACACAACCTTTATACTTTCTGTCACCCTAGAGACAAATACTTGCAGTTGCAAATGTCTCAGGGTATTATTTTTTCCCGAAAGTTTACATGTAGCGTCAATTTCTCTGTTTGTGCCAGGACACGTTATTTATTACAAGCTGATAGATTCAGAGAATTAAGTGTGACTTCATTCTTTGCAGGCTACTTCTGCATCTGGCAGAATCTCCAAGTCTCCAGTGGTTGTTTTCCTATCCTAAAGGCTAGGAAAAACCTATGCGGGCAAAAATTAACTCAGATTGTTGCTTCTAATTCAAAGAAATGAGGCAATAATTGCTAGAATACTTATAGCTTTGGAGGTTCTTCTTTGACTTATCTGTTTCTTTACCAGTATTCAATGTCTTCAACAGAAAGGAACTCTCAATTTTTGTATGACAACATATTATAAATTCTAGAATCTAGGGTGTATCTTGTACATCTCAGATGCATTGAATGCAGTTAACCATCCTGGCGTTTTCTGTAGACTGGTTATCAGCTTTCCCAGATAGTATCAAAACTAGGAGATGCTGCTGGTGCATATTAAATGCACTCTAATATGCCATTTTTCACATATTTATGATAAGACTGAGTAAAAATCTGATGTTTTAACCTGTTACTCAGTAGCCATGAGAGTAAACATTATTTCTGCATTGGAGAGGTCAGCTTGTTTTACATGGGTTGACTGCTACTATTTACTAGATTGTCTAGATTTTCACTGGAGAGCTAAGAATCACCACTGACAAATTTTCAATAGTGGATAGACAAAATGGATTATCGGTATCTCCTCTTGACATTTTCCTCACAAGTCACATGCATGAGCAATTGTAACTAGATTTGGTGTTGGGTGGGGTAGGGAGCAGTTGTAACAGGGCTGTAGACAAAAAAAGTTTCTCCATCTTCACTGGTTTGCATGAGCAATTGTAACTAGATTTGGTGTTGGTTGGGTGGGGTAGGGAGCATTTGTAACAGGGCTGTAGACAAAAAAGGTTTCTCCATCTTCGCTGGTTTGCAACACCAAGGTCTTCAGGTAAAATTGGCCTAGATGGAGACAAGGGGAGTGTGAACTGTACCTCCAAGGGCTTGGCAAATGGTTAAGACAGATACATACCACTAACATAAACAGAGAGACAGCCATCCATGCATTTCTTGGCAATTACTACAGCTCGGCATCATTACAGGTCACCTTGCAGGGCAATCAGCCAACACACTCACAGGCAGTGCTGGCACTACGGCAGCATGAGCATATACATTATCTAATTAATCACCTCGGCTTCCCTGAAACACATTGGCTCAGCGAAATAGCTGTGCACATACCACATTTATATAACTACTATTGCTACCACACAGTGGTATTTATAAGTGATTAAGACATTATGTTGGTATGCAGATAGAAATATGAGGTTGCATGTGATCATCAGTCAGAAGCAACATGTTCTACTGATGTTTTTAAATTAGCACAACTTAAATTATTTTTTGAAAAGCACATATATTTAAGGCTTGTGATAAAGTGTTACAATCTGAGACCAAGTACACTTGACTTTAAAAAAAATTCCTTTAAGCTTAAATACAGGGTGTTTTCTTGTTATTTGGTCATGTGTGCTGGTACACATGAGGCTCAGTTTGGGATCCTATTGCAAAATCTGCACAACTGTACCTGCACCAAACTAGTTCCTGGCAGGAAATAACCCCTACAGCCACACATGCATACCCACAGCCTCAGCCCCAGGACATGTCAGGCTTTATGTCAGTTAGATTATTTAGCAGCCCATGGGTGTTTACAGGTCCATTTAAAGCACCAGTGAAGTTGAGACAAGATATAGATGTAATTAGGGACAAACCTGATTGGGCATATCAAAAGCTCAAGCAAGCTTTATTCTTGCTTTGAAAAATAAGTGAGGTGTCACTACCACAAACACAGCACAGAGAAAAGGCATAGCAGGAAAAGCTGGAGCATGCAGTAATTCCTTGACTTTTGCAAAGATGAGCTTGCTGAGAATAATCCTGGATATTAATGGGTTAACTGCCCTAGCAGATTAGGCAAAGGCTGCACACATGATAAGCCTTCTGAAGTCAAGATATGTGACATCGTTCTCTCTCTGATAAAACTACATAATTATGACCTAGATGTAGGTGCCAAGCACTGCATGAGAGCTCTTGCTGATTGTGTAGAGTGTCTTGGTATCTCATCTAGCTTATCAAAGCAGAGATAAAAACCAAATTGCTTTGGTCCCCTCATGTGGAGCCCCTCCCCCCCTCCCCCCACTACCCAAGACAGGGTTCCCAGTAGCCAGCCCTAGACTGCCCCTGGGAATGATGTTCCTCACCAGAGTTGGTTCCTGGCCAAATCTTGGGGAATAATCCTAAATTCAAGAGCAACCAAAAATGGCTTCACTGCAAAAAGTGATAACGCCAGATTTGGCATTGAGATGGGTTTACCAGATCAAGTTAACATTGCCTCAGTAATTTCTCCACCATGCTTTGTCATCCTTGAAGTACAGGGAATACCAGAGCTAAAGAAAATTGATGGGCCAGATAAAAGATAATAGAAAGTGTATCTGGTCCAGCACCTTCATATTTGACACAGCAGTTGTCTTCTAACCATCAGAACTGGTTTTAACATATCAGCATTAGGATGGGTATCTGTCACACTCAGAGGTTATCCATATTTTCCATTAGTGACTTGGAGAGTGGAATCAAACATGAGCTTGTACAGTCTCCAGGCAACACTGACCTGGAAGGGAGTAGAAGCAAGCGTTTGATGGGGGCAGGGGAGGAGAAATGATGACAATTTAAGGTGATCTTGACCGTAAGAGAAGAATTAACAAAAATAAAAGGAAATTCAATATAGAAAAGCCTGGCTTGTCTATTTAGATAAAATTATTCACACAAATATTAAGTAGGAAACACCTAGTTTGGCAGCAGGGAAGCATTGGTGAAGTTATGGCTGATTGCAAGCCACAAAAGTTCACAATATAATGTCATTGTAAAAAACCAAAAAAAATCCATGTCTTATACAAGAGATGGCTTGGGAAGGACTGGCTTTACTCTGCTTGGCTTAGATAAGGCCTCAGTTAGAAAAGTACATCCTGAAACAGTTCTCACATCAGGAAAGCCAAAGGAAGCATATTTGGCATTGTCCCCAAACAGTTTAGAAAATACTCTCCTGGAGAAAGAGGAGCTGAAGGAATTATCTTAATTTAATTCAGAAGACCAGGGAGAGAGACACAGTATTCCAGCACATAAAAGGAGTTTTCTATAAAAAGGGAAATGGTCAGTTTGATCCCTCTGCTGACATTGGAAACATGTGAAGTAATCAGTTTCTTTCACGAGGCTTATGTTGGCTCATGACTTGCTGAAAATTTGACCATTTCTCTGTGGAACTACTGTGGGACCTTCTTCCTTGACAGAAAGAGAGAAGATACAGAACCCCCTCTCAGGCCTGGTTTTGCAGTGGATAAAGCAGTGTCCCTGCATTCCCAGGATTTGTTCAGTGCCCTCTCTCCCAGTGTCACTGTGTGTCTAGCACAACATGTATGTTCACACAGTGCTGACCATGTGAACACACAGAGAAATTTAGGTGGCTCTTTCCACTCAGCAGATTCTCTTCCTTCTCTATTATTTATGCACCAGTGGCAACTACCATTTCTCCTTCTGAAGCAGGTCATGATTACTGTTGGTATACTGTTAGTATAGTGAAAGATGTCAGACATGGAGCCTAATCCCACAGCACCCACATTCTCCAGGACTGATTGAGTATGCAGTTCCATAGCATCACATTTATCTACAGTGCTCAGAAAGTACTACATTTTACTCATTTTAATGTCTCAAGAGATCTTCTGTACCACGCTCACTTTCTTCATGGAGATGACTTTCAACAACAGAGTTTAACTTGCAGTTTCAGCCTCAGCCAAAACACCAGCTACTATATGACTGAACATGCAACATGTATACAAGGCTGTCAGAGAAAAAAAGTATGAGAAAGAGGTCATTGGAGGAGTTGGACACCTAAACCATCCTTTCCTAATGATGACGTTTATTCTGTTCATCTGTTAGACTTCTAGTCTGTTTTGAACAAAAAAAAAAAAGTTATGGTCATCTTGTAGTCTCACCACTGTTTAAATAGTGAGTATCAGCACTGGTAAGAAAGCATCATCATTCATTTTGTTTTCTAATCCTAAAATGTCACATATTGCCATTTTGATACCTGACAGCTTAAAAGACAGTTGCTAAAATACCATCTAAAGAACAGGAACAAGAAGTGCAAGCGTCCGTTTTTGGCCAGTGCTGTTATTCTAGTCATTTCCTTTCTCAGTATCACAGAGTGACATGTAGTTATCTCAGACATTCACGAGTGCCAATTCTTCTTAGTGGAAGGAAATGAGTATCAATTAAATAGGAAGCAATCAAAGAACACTAACTTTTGCACCCGTTTCCAGATCTGGCCATGATGACACTTGAGAATGAGGGAAAAGCTATTATATTTTGCATATAAACCAAATTTTCTGTAAAATCTGCTGTGTAGCTATTCATAACCATGTATGAATCCTATGAATAAAATGTTGATACTCGTTAAACCAGACAAGCAAGGCAGTGGAAATGCAGATATCCGTTGTGACTGGATGAGAAGACACACATTTGAAAGTGCCTCTGTTTTTCTCTCATACTGTGAAAACCCAGCCATCCCTTTTGCGTTCCATGAGGAGCAGGGCTAGCCTAAGGCAACTTCGCACCCAAAAACCCAGCCCGCATTTCCTATCATCTCTCAGGGCTTCAGACTTCGCCACTCGACCCGAAAGGGGCAGTTTCGTCTACTCTAAGGCAAAACCGAGATGCCCCGCACGCCCCGCGGAGCCTCCGCCTCTCCGGCCGGGCTGGCTGCCGAGCACCGGGCACGCCCGGACGGCCCGGGAAGGGGCGGCCAGCCCCAGCTCCGGCGCTGCCCAGCACTGCCCTCCCTCCGGCAGCAGCTCCGGCCGCGTCGGTGTCCGGGAACTCCAGCTGATGCTCAGAGGAGCTCGGGAATACGGCTGTACCCCCGTCCCGGGATCCAGCACCGGCTGCCCGGGGTAAAGAAACCAAACCCTGCCCAGTCCCCGAGGAAGGCGTCCTCCCCGTCACGGCAGGTACTCACCACCGGGCAGGGAAGTCCGGCCAGTCCTGTGTAGCTCCTCCCGCGTCGCTCCCCGAGGTGCCGGTGTCTCTCCCCGAGGTGCCTGTGTCTCTCCCCGAGGTGCCGGTGTCTCTCCCCGAGGGGCCGATGTCTCCCCTCGAGGGGCCGATGTCTCTCCCCGGGGTGCCTGTGTCACTCCCCGGGGTGCCTGTGTCACTCCCCGAGGTGCCGGTGTCTCTCCCCGAGGTGCCGGTGTCTCTCCCCGAGGTGCCGGTGTCACTCCCCGAGGTGCCTGTGTCACTCCCCGAGGTGCCGGTGTCACTCCCCGAGGTGCCGGTGTCTCTCCCCGAGGTGCCGGTGTCTCTCCCCGAGGTGCCGATGCCGCCTCAGCATCCGTGCCGTCGAGGCGAGCGCTCATCCCCGCGGACCGCCCCGCCCCCCGACCGGCTCGCCCGCCTATTGGCTGCGAGGGTCTAATTTGCATGCCGGCGCCCCGCCCCCTGCCGGCCCCGCGGGAGGATGCCCGGCGCGGGGAAAGTCCGCCCCGTGGTGCCGGGAAGCGTGGGAGCCGTGAGCTGGCCCCTTTCCTCGCCATCATCCCCGTGGAAGTACCCTGACTTTTTTTGTTCTCGCCTCCCCGCCGGCAAGCGGGGGCTTTCCGACACTGTGATTCTGTAATTCAAATTGCCGCTGCTTAGCGTAAGGAAGATGCGCTCTTCGCTTCATGCTTCGGAGTACGGGTCAAATTAAGTCTTTTTTGTGCGTTGTGACTCTCTGGGGAAAAAAAACCCAACACTTTCCCCATCATTCGAACTGAAAGAAAAGCTAACAAAAAATGTTTGGTACACATTTATTAATTAGCCACACAAGTAGTTACAGAGGTTATTAAAGTCTTCCTGAGACAGGAAGTTTTTGCTTTTCGTGAAAATCTTGGACATGTACTTTTTTCTCTTTTTCATCACAAATCTTGAAAATAATCTGAAAATTTTAAAATATAGAAGTTACTTTATTGTTGGTGCCAAAAAGTAGCTGAAAGAGCAACTGTACTTTCCTGAGTAATCATCAGTTATACGGCTCCAAAATTTCTTACATTGCATAAATCCCACCCTGGGCGACCGAGAACAATTTCTGTCATGATGAGAACAGTTGCAGAGATGTAGGAAGCTTACTCCTTCCTTATTTTCTATGCTGTTTTTGTGTCAGGAAAAAAATGTAAGTAAAAGGAAAATATTTGAGGTTTTATGTTAAAAATCAGTTAAAAATATATCTGACAGAAAGGGTCTTTTACCTTGAAAAATCCAGGACTGCACTGGGCACTTTGCTGGGATTTTTCTCTTAGACCTTGATGCTGGAGACAAATTTAGGTGTGTGGATCTCACTAGTCCTCTAAAACTACCTGAAGGCACTGAATTGTGAGGGGGTTTTCTCTTCCAGGCTGCTGCTTTGTGAGACCAGCTGCAGCATCCCCACGTGTGAGCAGGCAGTTTTCTCTTCCCCAATGGACCGAAGAAAGCAAATGGGCCTTCAGTGTTGTTTAGTGTTGTTAATGCAGTCGGAGCTGAAAATAGAGCTGGGTGTTAACGTAATGTCATGGGTAATCAAAGGTACAGGCTGCTTTGCGTGGCATGGAACAACAATTACAAATTAACCCGCTGTTGTTGCAGCACAGGCAAAGCTATGGGTGTATTGACTGATGTGTCTGATGGTCCTGTCAAGAGCAAAATGCCAATCTAGAAACATCTGATATCTTCCCTGTAATTCATGTGGAGGATACAGAAGACCAAAGAGATGACTGTCAAGTCTCCCCTGCTTTGGTAGAGACTTCAGTAAAAATTTCAGTAGCTGAATAGCAGGCAAGGTAGCAACATTTTTAAAATATCACTCTTCTAAGAAACAAATGGAGAGAGAAATTTATTATTTCTACAGATTTTGCCGCCTAGATTAGACGAGGTTAAAGAAGGTTCAAAATTCTCATAAAAACCTCACTAATTACACAAATAGCATGCTAAAAAAAAAAACCCACCATAGCCAAACAAGTATCCTGAAAGTTCTTGAGTGTATTATGTTGGTAGATCTTATGAAAGGTGCCCATTTGCATGCTGTTATGAGAAACAAAACCAGATGAGTCATTTGAAAAGACTGTTGTGTCATCATATGTAACAAAGACACTCGTTTTGGGTTATTATGCTCATTTCAATCTCTTCTGTAATAACATGAACAGTGTAGATTGATAATGGAAACGATTAGACAGAGGAAAATGATTTTCCAAAATAAGAGATAAAGAATTCTCAGTCTCGTAATTTTATTGTTCTGTGAGTCCTGAGCAGCATTATATACCAAGCTACAAAAGTAACATCATAATTTATTTTCACTTTCTGCTATCTCTGATTATAAGAGAAACACTTCGTAGTTTACCAGTAAAAGTAAATACTCAATTTACATAGATAAAGGCAGAATTCATTAGTATTGGGATCACAGATGCCAATAAGTTTCTAAAGGAGTTTGGGAAATATAAATGTACTATACATCTGCAGACCGTAAGCCTCTCTTTCAGTTCTTTTTTCTTTTTCCTGAAGAGCTGTTACACTTTCTTGTTTCCTTAAAGGCTTCCAATCCTGACCTAGGTCTTAAGTGATTGCTTTGAATGAGCCAGGTTTTGCTTCCAGTTCTCTCATCTCTAGAAAGAGGACAGGCATAATTACTTCCAGTTCTCATAAATGTGTAGTGAAAAGTAATATATAAACAAATTGTGCTCTCATGTATGTTAAAATATTGTGAGGATGTGTTATATTTCAAGGACAATTCACTGCATGAGGGAGACTCATCATCTTTCTGCTCTGGTGTGTGATGCTTCTAAAGACATTTCCAACCGGAAAATTGAGTTTCTTCCAAAGCCCAAGAAATTAGAAATTATGTGGACATGTAAATTTCTCTTTGCTACCACTTACCAATATCATAGGGCATCTGGGAACTCTGGGTAATGTCACTTTTGGGAAGAGCAGTTTCACCGGGCAACTTCCATACAGGTGACATATACACCCCTGCTTTTCTGGAGTTTACCCATCTCTAGAAAAGCATATACGTACATATAATGTACCCATAACATCTGTACTAGTTTCAGTATGAAGTTATAGTAGTGTCAAGCTATAATAATTGACACTTGTGAAACTTTCAGCTAAAAACAGAGCAAATTGCTACCAGTTCAGTTTTGTATCCTAGAGCCAGTTCTCAGACACATAAAATTCATGTACACTTTTCTGGATGTGCAGTACACATGAGTATCTTCTAAGCTAGAATCAGATCTGATGTAATCTAGCTCACATCTAGCTCAATCAAAGTAATGATTCATGGTCCTGGACAATGATTTATCAACTGCCAAGGTGAGTTGAAGGGAGACACCAAAAGACTGATGCCAGAAAATTTTTTCACTATATTCATCTACCAGAGAAACTGAGTCTTCAGCTGTGATACTTCCATCTTGAGAAAGGTCCAACATTCCTGTTCTGTCTTTTCACATTTCATTGTAACCTCTCACAAAAGATACTGGTGTTAAGAACAGCTTCATTAATAAATGTTGCTGATGTAAAGAGATTCTCCTTGGTTGCATGAGCAATAGAGTGCTGAAAAGAATTCAGAAGCCAAGTATCTCCACAGGTAGCTAAATCCACCTTAATTCTTTGTTGAAGCCCACGGGAATATTTGGATTTACACAGAGATAACATAGTGCTCTAGGTATTGAGCACTGCAGATGTTTTACTTCTTGCTTTCTTTTTCTCCCATTCATTAGGAAGGAAGAAGACTGCTACAAAAGGATGAAGTGCTGAAAGCTGTGCAGATGTAATTGCTGTGGAGTCAGAAGATGCCCTGTGCCAGGGCCCTCTCTCTTGCTTATTTAGGAAAGGATTTAACATTCTTGTCCGATTATGTCCCAATGGCATGTGAAGCCAGCCCTGGGTGTATTGCCCCTGAATTCCTTGTGAACCACAACTTGGCACTCATGTATGGCTCTGAAAGTTCTTTACCCATAAACGAGTTCTTAATCTAGTTAGGGTTGTACCAAATGCCAGATTGGATACACAGGAAACAGCCCTGGGACTTCTTCATTCAGAGATGATGACAAATGCCAGAATGTTTTCTTAAGCTAGTAACCAATAAATGAACAAGTTCAAAATGTTTTCACACAATAGTTGTAAAAAAACATGGTTAATTGGAGCCATGGAACAATACTGATTTCTGGGAACAGAAGGCTTTCTTGATTACCAAGACACTGGATTTCTCTGCTATTGTCACAGGTTTTGAATGCAAGAGCAATAGCCCATATGTATAACTTGACAAAGGTCCTGTCACATCAGCTGGCCTAATGAGAAGCTTTGTCTAACTCTGCTCCTGTATTTCAGTAAAGGTGTGTATTCTAACTCCTGTTATCAGACAGGAATGAGGTACATTTGCATGTCCATACACTGAGATTGGTTAACAGGGGGCACTTTGCAACCTGCCAGAGCAGAGACAAGGACATCTTTATGTCATTCAAGAGGGATAAAAAAGTGAGGAGAGGAATGCACGTAGCAGACACTCTGATTTGGGTATAGTCCCAGTAACAGCAGATTCTAGGGCAAGTTCATATTGCCAAAAACTACTTGTGCTATTTTCCCCACATCACTACTCCCTGAGCAGGAAATGGCCAGGCTGTGTATTAGGTATGAAGGCAGAAGTACCTAGGCAGGAATAAAAAGAGTTTTTTTCTTCCAGAGGTTAAAAGCCTGAGATGGCTTAGAAGGCAAAGAATAAATAGACTTTCACAAAGAGAGCTATAGTAAAATGAGGACATTTCCATAGCTTTTTTGGAGCATCCTTTTCACATTAGTCATTCAAATAAAAGGTGTTGTTTTCTAAAACTCACCAAGTTTTGATAAAAGAATTCTATCCCAGAATCATGTGAACAGAAATTTTATACAGCCATGTTGATGGATCACCTTATTCATGCTGCCAGTGCTTTTCAACAAGCGATATAACATCCAGAAAGTGGTCGGGAGCCTGCCCAAAGTGCACAGGGAGTTCCTGTACCATACAGACTACCTTCTTCTGAAGGCGTGGTGCACATGTGGAAACCTTTAGGGTGGCTTTGTGGCTAGATCTAAATATCTTGTGGTAGACCTTCCCAAGGGTAGCATGGTAGTGACATGCTACAGATATGAGAAGATAAAGAAAAGCTTTTGTTTAGCTGAAGGTGAGGGAAAAATTACTTGG